CTCAATGAAATTTAATGGCATCAAACAGTGTCAAACATGGCTGAATGTCTGAGTCACTGAAACATCTTATTAAACATAAAATCTAAAGTTTACGGCGATCTAATTCACAGCAGAAAGACAGATTAGATAGCTGCCATTTTTCCCAAATGGGAGATGTATGATGTACTTCGATGTGTGACTACAGATATGGATCACACAAATTTAGCTACAATTGTACTTAGAGTTCGAGATTAAAAATAATCTCACAGGTGTGGCATGGGAGAGGAACGGTGCACACATTAGAAAAATTTTCCCAGAGTTATTGGGAAACTGACAGCCTAATAGCTGGTATAATGTGCTTTTCCTCCTTGCTTCTTGGGCAGTCACACTTTGGGGTGCAGTACAGAGTATGCTAACTAGACGTTAGATTGATAGCGATGGGAAATTATTTGCCAACTGCAGGAGTAAATCTTTAATGTGGCTGCAAATTTGTGTTCAAAAACTGACTGGGAGCTCAAATAGCGTTTCTATATAGACACAGTGACTGAGTTGATCTTATCTCCTGTGGCTGAATGTACGGAGATCTTTACCACTGCTTGCCAAAGAAAGTGATAACTCTCTCTCTTCCCAATTTCCAAGTAAAACATCTGCCCTTATGCCAGATGTTGCCAGTGATCTCACTGGCAGACCTCTGGGGCTAAGCTTAGGAGAATCCATTTCTCAGCTAAAACATGTATTCCCATTGAACTGACTTCGTCAGTCTTCATCTGAACCCCCTTTAAAAGCACTGAGTGAACAAGTACTTTTGTTTGACTGAACTATTAACCACATGCACCTAGGAAGATGAAACATGGTCTGGCCATGACAAGCTCTTCTGTTTCACCAGGCACACTGTCTTTGTGCTCTTATCTCCATTTGTTACTATATGGACCTTAATCTGACAGCTCTGGCTCAATCTTCACTTGATGCTTCATTGTCCTACGTAAAGGAAACTGTCAATGGACCCTGCTGAGGGTTGCTCACCCACTTGGTAAGAAAGAGAATGAAACACTGTTTTGTTGAGAGAGCAAGTCGAGTGTCTTTTCACGTGAGTTCAAGTCTGTGCTTTTCCCTTAACTGATTAAACAGGAATAGTACAGTTTTGAAACTAGCACTCAATAGTATCCAAGTTCATAAGTAAGCTGTGAATGCATTTAGAAATACAACACAGTAAGCTAATAGTTCATGAAAATGAATTGGACTTAAAAGGACTGTATTTGTGTTCTATACTACCTGAGCAGACAAATGATAACACGTATAGATAGAATAACCAGTTGCCAGATTAGTTTTGTTTAACAAAATTTAGAAAATATGTGTGTTAACTAAGAGTGGTTAACAAAGGCCAAGTGTACTCAGCGTATCTGACACTCATTTTAAACTTAAACCTAATGTTCAGAATTATTAATTTGCTGTTAACCCTAAATGCAGCTAAGTTGTTTATTATTATTATTTTTATTATTTTTATTACTATTATTTTGGTGAGAATAGTTTTTGTCAAAAAAAGATACTTGGGGTGCTATCTTGCAAAGATAGTTGTATTTTGTGAATAGTTTTGTTAGTTTTTTTTTTAAGTTGGAACATTTTCAAATTTTTTTTTTTTAATAAAAATTGACTTGACACTCAAAATTGCCTTAAAAATCAATAAACTAGTTTAAAAGTAGAAAGTGTTTTTTTTTGATCCAGAACGTTTTCATTTTATATTATTTTGCAGAGAAAGGCTGTTTCCAGTTGACCTGAACGACTTTCCTTCCAATTTCAGTTTACATTATAAACTGAACTCAATTACTAACATAGTTGTAGCCAAAGACAAAAGTAGGCTCTTTGGATAATGATGGTTTCTAGCAATGTATGCAACTCATGCATGTTTGTGCAGGAGGAAAGCAATACATTTCTGCAGCGCCTCATTTGTTTTATGCTGAAACCTTTCTGGCTGTTATGAAGTCAGATACCAATACTATGAATAGCAATGTACTGCTTCAGTGGTACCTCTTATTCCATAATTTGTCCATGATTTCTAGTGCTTCAGCCTTATGTATCCTACCTTAAGTATGATTTTTGCTTTACTAGGCCATCTGTGGTTAACATACATTCCGAATGAAACAGGAATTACAAGAGCTACCAATGAAAGTCCTGTAAAAGAGAAAGAAGTTAAACCCATGTTACCATGCAGAAGTTCACAACAGGAGGACAGGCACTGTGTAGAGCAGCTGGGGGTACAGAGCAAGGCTTCAGAGGATGTCCCTGGAGAGGGACTTTTACAAGGGTATGTAGTGATAGGACAAGGGGCAATGGATTTAAACTGAAAGAGGGTAGATCTAGATAGGATATAAGACAGAAATTTTTCACTCTGAGGATGGTGAGGCACTGGAACAGGCTGCCGCGAGAAGCTGTGGATGTCCCATCCCTGGAAGTGTTCAAGGCAAGGTTGGATGAAGCTTTGGGCAACCTGGTGTAGTGGAGGGTTTCCCTGCCCATGGCAGGGGGGTTGGAACTAGATGATCTTTGAGGTCCCTTCCAACCCAAACCATTTTGTGATTCTATGATTCTATGTTTCTGGTACGTACACCCCAGATCACACATGCACGCTCTGCCCACACCTGCCCATTTGCTTTTCTATAGAGTCTGTTATCTTTGGCAGCCTGTTGAAGTAATTGCCATTCTGCTGAGCTACGAGCTCATTCACCTGCATCACAAAGGCAGACAGAAATTTGAGTGTGCTAATCATCGCTATCCTGTGATGCGAGCAGCTATATTGAATGTTCATTTTGTCTGCAGGTGTTTCACTACTGTACCACATCAACAGTCGGTTTAGAGCTTCTTTTGTCTTGGCCTTCTCCCTTCAGTATTTATTTTAAAAGTGCAAGCAATGTATGAGATTTTTTTTTCCCCATGACAATGAGTAATGAAAGTGAAGAATATGGAAGTGACTCTGCTGGCTTTTAAGATTAGCAGAACGTGGAACCGCACTTGATAAGTATTAGGGCCACAGCTCTGCAAAGCACTGGAGCATGTATTTCTAAATACTTTGACTATTTTCTCTTTGTAGCTGGATGAGATTTTTGACAGGAAGTCAAATGAAGCCACTCCTGGTGATGTAGATTGCAGCTTTTCAAAGAGACTCAGCAGTTTTAATCACTTGCTTAATTATCCACATGTGCTTAAGTACTTTGCCAGATTATGGCCTCAGCACTTAGTACTTTGCAGGATTGTGCCCTAAAGCTGTTACAAACACTTTCAGCCAGGGGAAACAGCTATTCCTGTACAAATTATTTTATATTCTTATCCCAGTATCATGCAGATCTCCAAACCATTTGGAAAGAAAAACATGCACAATCTCATGGTAAATATCTGTACCATATTTATAATGACTTCAAGTCTTTGTTCTGCAGAGCAGAATGACTCAAAGTGATCTAGGTACCTAATCCCCACAGAAGTTACCGGAAAGTAGGGGGATGAATATTTTTGAAAAATCTGAGGCCATTTCCTCATGACTCTGCAGGATGGTGGTATAAACTAGGTGGTTGTTACTAGAGGGAGGAAAAAGCAGAAAGTCAGAAGGGAAAGTGCTGGTTCATCGGACTCACCAATGCTTTTGTAGGGCAGTACAATTGCATTAGAATCAGTCCACATCTTGGTGTAAATGAAGAGGCAAAGAGGCATCATCCCCATTGCAAACAGTGTAGAGCAAGTTGTCATGCTGATGCTGCAAAGAAACTGGTTAGAATGACAGTTCATCTCATGCTAGCCTATAGTTTTTCTCTTATTATGTCTTAACAGCTATAGCAAGGTTGCCCAAAAGGCTCTTGCCCAAAGGGTTGGGTAAGAAATGCTGCTGACTACAATCAATTTATCCTGTATGTCAGATTAGAAAAGACCTAAATGGAAGGAATGGTTTCTGCTGAATAAAAAGGAATGTAAAATATCAACGTGTTCTGCAGCCACAGAACAGTAACTTTCAGTGCAAATGAGGCAGCCAGACAGGTGGCAATCAGGAAGGTCTGTTGGCAAGTCTGTCTGCGTGCTGCCTGTCTGGCTGACTTCTGAGAGGGTGGCAAGATGGACAGGGTAGATGGACATCAAATGGAGCTTTCCGTTGTACCAGCAGTTCTGGTGTGTTCAAATTTCACTCCAAAGTCAACAGTATAAACCACAAAGATTTCACCATCTAGGATGTGTGATGTAATAAACCAATTCCCTTTTCTGGCTTGTCTTGCTCTAGGCCAAAAAACAGGTACTGAAAATTACTCAGTGAAGCTAAGCATAAGTATTGTTGCTTCCTTGGTTTGTGCAAAGACTTTTCTGTTTTAAAATATAAAGTCTTAAAACCATCAGGCCTGGTATACCTTGTACTAAAAGATACATTCTGCTACAGGAATGAAGGAAGATGAAAAGACAAGAGAGTTAAAACAGGAAGGAAATTCTTTGAATTTGAGCAGAATAGATAAAATTATGCCTACAAATCACACTTCTCTGACATAAAAGTCAAGAGAGTGTTCCAGTTAAGGGACTTCGGAAACTTCCTTATGGATCTCGCTTCTGATTTCTCTTTTATGTGGTTTGCCCTCAGGAAAGGGTCTACTGTCCCACAAACTGAGCAGATCCAGGAAATCCAGAACAATTAATATAGAAACCACGTGAATATCTGCATTAATTTTGGTTCCTGTCACTCTCTGCTTCAGAGTCACTGAATATAACTTTGTAGGAGCCTCTGGTAAGAGAATTCCTATATACAGAGAAAAAAGAGCCGTGAGCTACAATTAAGGATGGGTGAAGTCCCAAATGGATACAAGAGCTTATTTTTCCTATCTCCATATTTACTACATCTTCATACTGTCCCTATATCTACATCCTGCTCCAAAGTCCACCTGTTCTGTAACCGTAGTCCCTGTGCTCACAGAAGCTCCCTGAGGAGCTGTAGAGGAGGGGAGATGGTATTTCAGAAGCAGTTGTTCTTGTGCAATACCAAAAGATGTCAAAACACAGGTGTCCCTGTGGGAAGTTTTAGAAGATATCATCTGAGTCTGAGTTACTAAGAAAGGTATAAAATCTCATACTTCATCTCCCTGTGATTATATGAGCAGTAGAAAATTAATTTCTGCTGTAATTTTTGGGCTATTTGCACTGGGATGTATTGAAGCAGGACTCTAGACAATGGTGATGAGTTGTTACGTACAAATATAAAATATTATCAGTTGAAAGGGAAACCTTTGTCCGATATGATGGGCAGGCTTTCTGTAATGCTGTGCTGGCTCCAGAAACCAGTCAAGCTACTTACACTGTTACTCTTCTATCAAGAAACGAAGATTGCTTGCATTGCCATTTTTGCTGTATCTCCAATATCCTCTGGTCCCTGCATTATTGTCACAAAGATCCTGACCGAAAGCCTCTGAATTCTTAAGGTAAAGGTCTTTACCTGGAGAATAACCTTTTACAGGTACTTTCAATTTACTTTACTCTCTGCAAGAGTCATGGGATATAAACCCTACTCATATTTACAGCACCATCAATTTGGATTTTTACCACTGATTTCAGTGGTGCAACTCTGAGCATATGGAGATGAGAAAGCATAGTTTAGCTCAGTATATTCTTCCAAGGAAAGATTAAGACAGAATTTCAAACTTGGGCTGGATATCTTTCCATCTCCGGTTTCTTAGACCTGTATTTATTGAAATAAGGTGTCTTACATTTTTTAATACCATAAGTTGTTCCTCCACAGTGAGGAAGTTGGTGATTAGCGAAGCTGACCTCATACATAATTTGAAAGCAGGTATTGCATTAACACCTGCACGTGACAGAAAAGTTCACTATTTTCAAAGGATGGAAAAAATATCTTATTAAAGCTACAAATATTAACATTCTTAGTCTATTTGCCCTAGCTCCACATCTTTCTTACTTCTATTATTTTTTCCATTTTTAGTTCAGACTGGCATATGATAAATTGGATGAATGCTCCAATTTATGTGACTCTGTGGGAAACAGAGAAATGATCCTGTTTATTTTAGAGTAAAGTAGTCAGGATATAAAAAATAAAAAGATGGCTCATTTTTAATGAACTCCCCATGGTATTTGCATCAAAAGTAGAGTTCAATTCTGTGTGTTTGATGTCCTAGACCATGCCAGGTGCCTTACACATCTGTTTCTGAGTTCAGAGCAACCTGTCACCAAGACCATCACACTTCACCACGAAGGAGTTTTTTCATTGCCCTCAATATGCAAGGTTGCCTTAGTCAGTGGCTTCTAGCCTGTAAAACTTTCCCTCAGTTTGAAGACTTTGCAGAAGGTGCCAGGAGCAGATAGAATTACAGCAAGCGATTTTCATTTATATTAGTTCCCAAAGAGAAAATCTATGCCTGTCTATTCATTGTATAGAACACAAAAGGAGAGAAAATATTTTTCCATGGTGGTCTTTTTCAAGAAACATTACTTCAAGAACTATTGCATAGCCACTGTTCTGTACAGAGGGTTCAGATTCTAAAATCCATTGTGTTTTTTGTTTTTTTTTTGTTTTTGTTTTTGTTTTTGTTTTTCATGCCCAAGATCTTGGGAGAAATAAAATCACAAAAGTAGTTCTAACTAGGACATGATCATTAGTATCTTAATGGTCTTCATCAATGCTTTTTTCTGCAGTATCTGAAGATTTATAATAAAGACATTTTCTAATATACCCAATTCTGTTGTGCTGTCTTCCTCATGAATTCTCAATGGACCAAGGATATTTGCTATTCTGCTTATATTTACTACTATTACAGTAACTAAACTCTACCATGCATGGGCCAGGAAGCTAAGAAAAGAACCAGTCCTTTTCAATATAAAGTTTGCAATGTAAATGTCACATGAACTACTTAGAGAACGACTACTCTTACCTTAGGTCCATGTCTCCGTCCACCCAGTAGGCGATGATATTGGAGGCTGTGCCCCCTGGACAGCATCCCATGATCAGCACCACAACAGCTTGAATAGGAAGCACGCTAAAGATCAGGGATAGCAAGAAGGCTGTGAGAGGCATAATTCCAAACTGGCAAAGGAAACCTACAAAAATACCCCAGGGTCTTTTTATGTGGCCCCAGAATTTCTCGAGTTCCACATTGCAACCCATGGAGAACATCACCAGTGCTAGCATGATTGTTAGAACAGTACTTAAAACTACGCTCAAAGTTTCATTAAAATCATCTTCCGGTAACACACAAGATGTGCCATTGCAAATAGTAGCATTTGCTGGACAAGACGTGGAGTTTTCTGCCGAAGACCTAGCGTTAAATTGCTGGGAAAGAAGGTACGTCTGCATTTTGAAAAACAGAACCGCTCAGTACATCCGAGGCAAACTTTCAAGCCTGTGTAAATGGTTGTTTGTCAGGGACTTCTTTTAAATGATCCAGGAAGCAATAAAGTGCAATAAATACTTGAACACTGTTACTATTCTTGATGGGTTTGGCACAGTGCTGATTCATACAGTTATAAAAGTTGCACTTGCTCGGTGTGGTGACAATCAATCATTTATTCATATGATAATGAGGAATCCCACACCAAGAGAATAGCTGTGTTAATATTTAAGGGTGTAAAGTAGGCTTGTGGTATAGCTGAGCACACAAAATGAGAATTGCAGGAGAAAGAGAAAGTTTAGACTTCATTCTTTGAATTTCTTTGATGCCTTCTGGAGAGCTGGTCATGCATGCACCCTCACTGGCATTACAAGGATCTGCAGGGCTGAAAGGAGTGACTGAGCCACGAGGAGCCACGAGTAGAGATCCTGAGCTGGGATTTGAAGCTGCACCTCTTGCTAAGGAGTGCAGTGGGATCCTCATTTGGTCATATTTCTAGTGTAATAGAAGTTACGAGTGGTGTACAGTGATAACTCTACCACAGGACTGCATGTACATTTGTGTCACTTCTGTCTCCTAAATGCAATTTTTAGGTAATCTTTCTGATTCCTTCTCAGCTTCCACATAATCCTGAAAATTAAGAAAAACCCCTGCTGCGATGTTTCCCATGATGCAGTCTGGTAAAATGTCACTTGCATTTTTGGGTTTGGCACATAGACTACCTTTGCCACTGCGGTGACATCTCCACATCCCTCCAGCCTGGGCGCTGGTTGACCACCTGATGACTGCTCTTCTCTGCTCATGTCTTGCGTCGCTCCCCACCACGTCCACCTCCGCATCAAGTTCATCAGCCAGGGAAGGAAGTGAGGCAAGGAGCCATGGGATGTGCTTATTTGGGCAGTGTGGAGATTTACGATCTTCCTGGCATCTTCCACCAGGCGCAGCTGGCGTAGTCGCGCTTCACTCCAGTTTGGACTGGAAGCGGTGGGCGGTCAGAGGAGGAGTGTGGGATGGAGAAGGTGGAGGGGGGAAGGAGATGTGTTTTGTGAGCCAAGTGTGGGGAGCAAAGAGCAGGGCAGCGGGGATAATGTGCCGCTTTGGAGCCATGCTACCCAACTGAAGCCAACCACATTCCCTTCTGCTTGGCAACATGTTCATCATCCACACCAGGGGTGAGGGTGCAGGTTACATGTTTTGCCTGGAGTGGCATGAAGGTTAGCAGACAGATTTCTTATGCCTGTCTTTGCTATGGCTTGTTGTTCTCCCTTATCCTAATGGCTCACAAGGGATAAGAGGCTGAGGTAGGGCAGCTTCTCTGGGATCTCTTTCAGGTCTTACAGTTCTACGATGGGCACTGGGCATGCTGTATGGTGTGGCTAACGCCTTGTTTCTATGTGAGACCAGAGGAACTTCACGGCATCCTCAGTGTATTTGCCTCCTCTGTGTGTCCCTGTTCTCCTTTCATTGCCTTGATTCATGTCCTTCTCTCATGTGTGCTTTCCTGTGGAAAAAGGTCATATATCAGTCAGTGCTTAGATATCTTTACTATGCTTATCACCCTACTAGGTGAATGCAGTGCAAATATTCATGTGTTGGATATCAAAATAACTTTGTGCCACTGATATTCTGTAAGAGTAAAAGAAGGCAGGAGAGCAGCCAGATGAGTTCTTCAAGCCAAAACAACAGCAATAACAGCAACAACAATAAAATAGTAGAAAGATGGGATCATTTTGACTATACAGCATACTTGAATCTCAGTCTCAAGTTTTCAAAAGCCTATGAAGTCATTGGGTTTTCTGGTTGGTCAAAGGTTTACCCCTCAGGCTTCCTCCAAAATTGGGAATGTTTTCAAGAGAAGAATTTTGATGCGTCTTTACCTGTGCCCAAACTTTGGGTCAGAAGTATCTTGAAGTGTAGATCTTAGAGTAAAATCAAGTCTAAAACATAAAGTACAGTTGATGTCCCACAAACATCTTTAGTTTTCAATATAAGAATATTTTACTAGGGTAATATGCTAAACCATAATTATCTTCAGCAAGCAGGACTCC